GCTCATGAGATGCAAAGAAGCCTTAGAGAGTGGTGAGATGGCTTAAAATATCCTTGGCCCAACCCTTCATGTGCTAAGGTTCAGCCAATGAGGCCAAGCCACATTTAAATAATCTGTCATCAATTCCTGGATAGCATCAAAGGCACACTTTCCTTTATAGCAGTGTGACTGCTTTGTTTGTGTGGAAAATCCAACCTAATCCAAATTCATGTATTGCATTATGAATAAAAACAGTCAAGTGGCTAATATTGCTGATAGTGTTTTAAGATCCTGATTTATGAGTGTTATTGGATGAAAATCACTTGGTGATGCATGTCCTCTTTTAGGAACTGGTCTTATATGTGAGGTTTTCCAGCCTTCTGGAATTGAGGATCTATGTAAAATGTCATTAAAATTTTCAGCTAGGTATAGAGACAACTGACAGTAGCTTATAAAAGTCACTATTAAATTCATCAGCTCCTGATGATTTTATAGATTTAAGATGAGCAAAGGCTTGTTCAGATTCAGAAATTGTTTTGTTAAAATACAAAGTGTGTTCTTCACTAAGGCCCAAAACAAATGGGCAGACAGTGGTGGCTTCCAGCTGCTCTGGGAGGGGGGGTTGTTATTTACATATTGCATGCCTCTAGAATATCCGGAAGCTACCCTGGGTCCTTGCTGGGGCTGCCTAATGTGACACAAAACCATCCCCAAAAGGAAAGGAACTTTTTTGCTCATATTTGGGTCCACAGGAGGAGGTGCCCTCAGGACTGTGGCATGTATTTGCAGTAGCCCTGGGGTGATTGGGCTCAGAGAGGCTTCTAGCCACTCCTTCCTGCCTGTCTTCTTTACTCCTAAGTTTTTTGAGGCTGAGAGTTTGAATACATTTTATTTAGCTTCCTCTATTCATCAGATTATAAGGAGGACTAAAATAAGTAAAATTCATTTAATATGTCATTCAAGTTACATTTGTACATTATGGTCTGCTATGGTGTAATAAAGTAAAACTTTTATTTGTTTTCTTTTCAACCAAGCTAGCTAATAATTTGAAACTAGTATGGTATTATTATGATAATACACCATTGTGAAAGTCATTGCAATTTGAATCTTATCCATGTCAAGATTTTCCAGTACAGTCTTTTTCCTTATTTAGTAGGACCAATGTATTAGGTTCTAGTGATAATTTACGCCTGTGTGAAAGTTCAGTAATTTTAGAATGAAGGGCTGCCCATTTTATCTGACATGTTTTATTTTGTCTGGCTCCCTCTTCATTAAATTGGCTTACAATTTAACAATACAATTAAAAACATACAAAATAAGGGCATTAACATAAAATTAAACTATTTGCAGCATTAAAACCAGTTACAGTCAGAATAAAATACAATTAAAAAGATTTAAAAGCTCCTTAAAACAGTTAAATTAAAACAATGAAGAACCCCAACCCATTCTTTTAAAAGTTAGTCTGAACAAAAAGCTCACCAATAGAAGGGTATCAAGAAGAGGGCCATTTTGTCCTCCTTGGGAAAGGAGTTTCAAAGTCTAGGTGCAGCCACCAAGAAGGCCCTCTCTCACGTCTCCACCAAGTGTGCTTCTGATGGTTGTGGAGTGAGGATCTCATACGACTTTATCACATGGGGAGCTCTGAACAGAAGCCAGCTTTAAAGAGAAAGTGCTACCGCAAAAGTGGAAGCAATTAATTAGCCAGCTTTCCCTGTCTGATAACTTCCTGCGCATTTAAAAGGAGGTTACTCCAAATGGAAAGTAGGCAGAAACTGCTCCTTTTTATTTTCGGAAGATCCCCGAAAATAAAAAGAAGCAGTTTCTGACTACTTTCTGTTTGGATTAACCTCCTTTTAAATGCAATGTCATCTGAAAATATACCCGCTTTTGCGGGTTTTTTTTTAAAGTTTAAACCCCCATTTCCTTACTGGATTTCTCCCGTGATAACGTCCATAGCTAGGGCAGGCTCATACATTCTGTCAAATATACCTCTTTCACCCCAAAATGTGGAAATGTAAGGAAAAGTTTTAATAAGCTACATAACAAATTACATATTAAGAAACCAGAGCAAACAATTTAGTAGTAACACAGAGAACCAGAATTTAAAATTCAACAAAAGGTGACCACACATTGTAGGAGACTTGCTCAAGCTGTGATGAAAATTAAGGCAGGAACACTGTCCTGGGCTTCCATTCTGCCTGACTTCTGCCATGCTACGAACCTTTTCATACCTGTATCTCAAGAGAAAAAAATCATTTTCTTTTCTCTGGTATTTTTGTGACTAGGGATTTGGAATTTGAACAGGCCAGATTTACATAGAAACTAAGAAATTATACTGTAGCACTTCTGATTTTGAGGAACCTATGAATACTTTTTTGTCTGAGTTCAGATTTGAAGTAACTAGAACAGGGGTAGGCAACCTTTCCCCTTTAAGGGCGGAGGGACTTCAGTTCCCAGAAACCTCAGCCATGTTGGCCAATAGTCCCATGTTGGCCAATAGCTCCTGGGATTCTGGGAGTTGAAGTCCCTCAGCCCTTAAAGGGGAAAGGTTGCCTACCACTGAACTAGAATATTGTAATTTTTGGTGGTGGTTGTTATCATGTGCCTTCAAGTCATGTTGGAGTTATAGCAACCTTAAGGCAAGCATATCCAAGGGTTTTCTTGGAAATATTTATTCAATGGAGGATTTGTCAGTGCCTTCCTCTATGGCTGAGAGAGTGTGACTTGCCTAGGCTTATCCAGTGAGTTTTCCTGGGCCAGGCATAGATTGAAACCCTGGTCTCGAGAGTTGTAGTCCAATACTAAAACCACTACCCAATGAGGAGGCTTTTCCTTGACACCAAATGACATTGGGACAGATGTTTCTCTTACTATAATAATAAGGCTAGCCTTAGCATGATCTTCTCTTTTGGAGTTCACAACTGGTTACAAGCAAGGGCCTTTCTTTTTTCCACCATTAGTGTTATATTTGATAGAGTCTGTGCCTAGGTCTTGAGATGTCCAAGCTCATGAGCAGCAGGCCACTTCAGACCACTGTCCTTTTCCGTATACCCAGAAAGGAAAAATAATAATGGCCTGGCTTCATTTATTGGTTGCAGCCTGTACTACACTACAGAACTTAGAAAGTACTAGTCACCTGTATACTTTAAGATTTCACTAGAAAGCATATATAATGAGATTTAATTATTCTGGTGCTAACAATGAATCTACAGCATTCCTGACATGCTTATTGTCAATACATATTAAATAATTTTTGAAGCTGTTGATGTTTTTGCTTTTGTTTTTAATTTATGTCTTGTTGTTGTATGCCTTCATGTTGTTTCTGACTTGTGGTGACCCTATTACAGGATTTTCTTGGGAAGATTTATTTAGGGAAGCTTTGCTTTTGCCTTCCTCTATGACTGAGAGTGTGTAATTTGTCCAATGCACTGTGAATCAAGCCAACCAATGAGAATGTTTGTTTTGGTACACCAAATTTGTTTTAGCTCATTATATTTGTTTAGTAGTTTAAATCTTATGAAATCTACATGACAAGCCCTAAGGGCTTCCTTCCCCAGAATATTTAGATCAGACCAATTTGATGGACATGTTATTTGATATATCAAGGTTATTTGCTTAATTTGATTTGATTATTTTCCCCTTGAATGATTGCTTTTGCCTCAAAGGAACTACGGGCTATACAAATGCATGGAATTATATATGTTATGATGATGAGCATCAGTGCTTCTGTATTGAAAAGGGACAGGCAGGAGTGTTGTTGTATCCCATGTGAGATAGAATACATAAATTCATTCATAGCCCCACTAATTCAGAGTTCCTCCAGGTACATAGTGATCAGAATGATTACTAAGATTTTCCAGTAGATTCATATTCAGATGTAGGTATGCATACATATTCCACAAAGAAACCACAGAAAGTTAGAGAAAATAAAGGCCTAAGCAGACTGCCAGAAATAGTGCACATTAAATTGAGGCACTGCCCTGGCTCAGTGCTAGGGAGTCATGGGAATTGTATTTTTTTCTGAGACATTGAGCCTTCTCTGTGAGAGAGCTCTGGTGCCACAATAAATTACAGTTCCGATGATTCCCTAGCACTGAGCCAGGGCAGTGCCTCAATTTAATGTGCACTATTTCTGGCAGTCTGCTTAGGCCCTAAGATAATTATCACAAGGTGGGGAGGAGAAAATACTTATGATTGGTTCCAAATGGTTTTGTGTGCATGTGTGTTGTGTGTGTGTCATTCATCATTATCATCATCACCACTACCATCATCATCTCATTAATCATCATCTTCACCTGTGCTCTGAACCATAATAGGACCTGGAGTGGTTGGATATCTTATCACAACACTGAAATGCATGAACAGACTGTATGTGCGAGAAGACAGAACTACTCCATGGCTCTGACAAAGGAACTTTCCTAAAGATGGCTTGCTGTGGAAAGTCTTTATTAGAGATGGAAATAATATTTGAAAAATTTTCAATATAGGTTCATTAGGTGTTGAGTAACTCTAACAAAAATCTGAGACAGAACAGAATCTTTGCTCTTCTGGACCTATTTAATACAAAAACTACATATCTTTTACAGAAGACAGCATTTTCTGCACAGTAAATTGCATTTCTGCTCTGAAAATAAGTTTTCAGAATAAAAAATAAAAAAAGAATAATCTGCATAGAAAATAACATTTCTGGCCAAAACAAATGTTGTTTCCTGGGCAGTAAAGTAATTTTCTGCACTGTGCAATTTTCTGCATTGCTTTTATTTGTCTATCTATATATTCTTTCCTTATTTGTTGGCAGTCCTTAACTGTGAATAATCATCAATCACATTTTTGCAGTGAGGAGGAGAAAAGAAGGTAAAACTGTTTATGTTGTTGTTATTGTGTGCCTTCAAGTCATTTCCAACTTATAGCAACCCTAAAATAAACCTATCATGGGCACATTTCTTCAGAGGGGGTTTGTCTTTGCCATCCTCTGAGACTGAGAGATTGTGATATGCCCAAGGTCACCCAGTGGGTTTCCATGGCCAAACAGGGATTTGTACCCTGGCCTCCAGAGTCATAGTCCAACATACAAGCCACTAAACCACACTTCCATCATGTATCTTGTGCATTTTTTATTGGCACAATAAAGGTATTGCTGTTTTGTGGATTTTAGATATTATTGTACTTTCAAAAGACAACTATTCTAATTCCATGTGAATACAGTCTCCCTTGAATTAAGGTTTAAACCTCACCTTTAGTGCATTTCCCCTCTCTATGGCAAAACTCACACAAAACAACAACAAGAAAAGTCATGCCTGAGCTGGCCCACAGGAATGCAATCCTTTGCTAATTTTGTTCTCAAAGGAAATAACAGCAATAGCATTTAAATTTCTATACCACTAGATAGTGAACTTGGCACTCTCTAAGCAGTTTACAATCTGTAAGACAATTGTCCCCAATAAGCTGGGTATTCATTTTACCAATGGAAAGGATGGAATGCTGAGTCAACCTGGAGCCTTCTTTGGTCTAATTCAAAACCAGCATTTAACCACTGTGCCAATCATATAAGAATTAGTTGTTTTAGCAATTTTTCCGAGTGTACCGTTATAAAAAACTGTTCACGGTTCAGGATTATTCTGCACAAAATTCACATGTGCTTTTGCTTTTTTTTATTTTTACAGTGAAACTGGCATTTTCTCTCAAGAAAACAACATATCCTGTGCAGAAAATATATCTGAACAAAAATATAATTTCCTCTGTTTAAAAAAATCTGTTTCTTGCAGATAAAATGCTATTTTATATGTAAACAAGTTGCAAATCTTGCACACAGTAAGTCTTGAACTGCAAGGATTCTAAAGAGCCCAGGTTTGCCTGAACTGCAAGGATTCTAAAGTCCCCATCAGGTTTGCCTGACACTCAATAAACACATTTTTCCCATTTTCAAATATTTTCTAATTCTGTCTCTAGAGACAAATGAAATTATTAGCCTACAGAAGCTAATCATCTTGATAAAAAAATTGATCAAACTTGACAGTTTATTCTAGAGAGAAAATCCTCCATACCTCATATAATTTCTTATCCTTATAGAGCTAGTATTATTGGTAGAGGAAGAAGGTAGAGGAATTCTGAGTGTCTTTACAAAGTAAAGACTGACAAAACATTTTGTCAATAGTCTGTGGAGACATGCTGTACTTTCCCTTTGGGAAAAAAAGTATTCAGGTCACAATGATTGTTTATAGCAATAGCAATAGTAGCTTCATTTGTATACCACTTCATATTGCATGATGCAGTCTCCAAGTGGTTAAAAAAATGTAAGCTAATTGCTCCCAACAAGCTGGGTACTCATTTTTGCAACCTTGGAAGGATGCAAGGCTGAGTTGACCCTGAGTCCCTGGCTGGGAATGAACTCATAACCTTGTGATTTCTGAATGAGTGGCTGCTGTACAGGCATTTAACCACTGCACCACCAGGGTTATTAGAACAGTAACTTGATGTCTATATTTAGTGTTTAATGAGATTCTTTTTACCAAAAGAAATTGTGACACAATGCAGCTGATGTTCAGACTTACATGTTTATAAAATGAACCATTACTTATTCCACACAGACACAAGAAAAGATGGAGAAGGCCTGACCAATATGCTCCACAGATTTTCAGAGTTATCCATTGGTAAGAGAAGTAGTTTTCTTTCTAAGTTGGGCTGAACTGGATAATGTTTTTTCTAAGAACACTGGTTAGAGTATCTTTTGCACATAATTACCTGGCAAGAGGAATGATATTTCCAACGTGGAAATGTCAAAACATTGTAGATATTATCATGATATTGCATTCGGTGGAATCTAGTAAATAATTCTATCCAGGTGTGTGTGTGTGTATTCAGTAAGATAACAGAAAACTAGCACAAGCTGAAAGCAGATGTATTTGAGGATATTGACAGGTGAATTTGATACAGACTAGCAGGTAAATTAACCAGCACACTGAAATTAGAACCAGCAGTAATGATGAGAATCCTAGAGACTGTATTTTAGATGGTGTGGCTCATCATATTGGAATATACCTTATGCTCCTACATGTCTCATTAGACATGGATTTACAAAAATCACATGGTAATTTTAGTTATGAGTTGTGCACAATATCACAACCATTATTTGATCTTATTACACACTGTCTCTGGAGCTAAATGGTAGCAAACCAGAATGTAAAACTCAGTTCCAGGTACAAGATCTCATTAATTTTTGGAATCTCTTTTTATTTAAATAGAGCTCAAAATAAACTCAGTGGTATAACATGGGAATTCACAGGCTGATTAGGACATGTTTCACTAACTAGTTCATGCTCTTTTTCACCTTGAAGTCTGTTTGAATTAGTGATACCATATCTGACTATAGATGTCAGCCAGACAGTCTACAATCCAGAGAGGAAATTGTGCAACCCATGGACATATGTTGTCAGGGGAAGCTTTTGTGCACTGTCCCCTCCAAATTGCGTAATAATGTAGAATGGTTCCTCCATAGATCTCTAGAGAAAGCATTTCACTATTTAATCACTTTAGTGTTCCCACCTCAGCACTTGATAAAAGGCTCAAATAAACAACATTTGAAAATTGTAAGCAACTAGTGATTTCAGGAAAACTATGAGGTGCAGCCTATGCAGTTCTGGGATAGCCATAACAGTCCTCATAACCTTCACTGTTTCCTACTCCTAATCTTTATCTGTACAAAGATTTTAAAAAAAATGTTTGTTCATTCATTTTGATTCATCCCACAGGGCCAGACAAAAGAGACAGCTATGACAGATACTGGCTCAGTGGCATCCCTGCCCCTGATGACACCGAGTGTGAGGGCAGGGTTCGGCGGCGGGGGGGGGGGGGGGGGGGGGGGGGGGGGGGGGGGGGGGGGTTCTAGGGGTGATGTGCCCAACCTTCTTCAGGTCTCTCCATCATTGTCCTCATGAGGAGAATGATGGGATGGCATGAGGGAGCACACTCTGCCTCCCTCAGGACCACATTGTTGTTCTCCGCATGAGGAGAAGTATAGGACTGAATGTGTGAGGAGCATGCTTAGCCTCCCTTGGGCCCATCCCATTGTTCTCCTCATGGGGAGAACAATGGAATAGCACAAGGGAGGAGTGCACTAGGCCTCTCTCAGGGCTGCCTCATCATTCTCCTCATGAGGAGAAAGACATAACTGTACAGGGAGGAGTGTGCTTGGCCAACCTTGGGGCCGCCCTATGTTTCTTCCAATGACAAGTAGGACAGGATGGTACAGGGCAGTGTACTCAGCCTTCCAAGAGAGAATGAGGTGATAACATGAGGGCAGGGCCTGACAGCATATATCAGTTTGATGAATGGTTATCAACAACTTGGAGAGTTCTAGCTGTTTGACCTTGGTGTATGAGCTTGCTTGTTTATTTAATATCCTGATACTATACTGACATGGGAATCCAGATGGCTTAATTGCTCAGGATCTCCTTCTAAGCACTCTCTTCATTTTTGTTTGACTTGATATTCCTTTGCAAATGAAGGCAGACATTCCTCGTTGTCTGTCTGCCCTTGCTGAGGCAGAAACCCTCTGTGCAGAACTGCACCAGCTGTATCTGCCCATGGGTGCTGAGGTTTGGAGATGGAACTATCATCTGAATCTACTTCCTCAGAGTGAGTTATAAAAGCTTCTATAAACTATAATTCTGGTTATGGGGCCTAAGAAAAGGAAGGGGACTCTTTTTTGTGGTTCTATACCTGGCTTGTGGAAACAAACAATGGGTTTGGGCAAACAAAAAGAGATGAGACACTCTCTTGACAGTAGGTCTGAGTTTTATGCCCCATGATTGGGTTTGAGAGTAACTTATCTCCTTGGGCTCTTAGGATGAGTCCAAGGGATCCCTGCCTTGAACAAGACCACAAATATGCTAAAAACCACCACAGAAGCATTTCTGGGTTAATGTTATGACCCTAACATGTGTCTCATTTTTTTCTTGGAGGCAATGGTGGTGGAGGAGGTCAATGACTCTGCATGTGACCTTATGAGAGAACATTATTATGTAAAATAGCATATCCACATATGTTTCATATATTATATTGACAGATGAAAGGTCATCTTCACCATAAAGTGAGGAGAAGAAAAAGTTGTTGCTTTAGAATCCACTTATATCCATGTACATCTCTTTGATAGGTGGATCTGGAGCTTGAATGTGGAGTTAAAAAGCAATAACCTGCTATGTTGAAGATAGTCTATATTGGGTTTTATGATTTGGTGAGCTTTGGTCATCTATTGTCCTAAATCCCACAAGTAAGTGTGTGTGTGTGTGTGTAATCCCATCACATATAGTTTCTTTCTCAGCAGCAAGTCTAATTAAGTTTGAGAGGGTTTTGCCTCTCCCTGCTTGGAACTGGCTTACTATTTCAACTTATTAAGCTGAGTTTCAGTGAAATGATAGCCAAAGTTCTATTTTCCAGAATCCCTTGGAATTTTCCATAATGACATTTGCAGCTCTCTACATTTGTTGATTCTGTTTGGGCTGGACATTATGCCTTATCTGCAAAGTAGTGCATATAGGGATTTGCTCTTGATATTATTTGTTTCATACTCTAGACTTTCTTGCAGTTGGTAAAGTAGCTGTGAATAATCCCCAGGGTGTTTCCCATATTATGCCATTAAGACAGTTGATATTAATGTGACATCTAGCTGAGAAAATAATTTGAACTGGGGGTGTGAAGAGCACTAGTTAACATTGCATGCTGATTCACTCATTATTTTAATAATGTGTGTATCTGAGGTGTGGACCACAGGTTATATCCAGATAACCATAGGTTAAATCCAGATTTAGAAAATAAAGAAAAAAATATAATTTTGGGGAAAAGATACTGCAAATTTAGTAACATAAAGTCCTTAAAGGATTAGGATCCAATAAGACAACGTTTTTGGAGTAGGACTCTGGAGACTGGGGTTTGAATCCTGTTTTGGCCATGTAAATCCACTTGGTGACCTTGGGCAAATCACACTCTCTCAACCTCAGAGGATAGCAATGGAAAAATCCTCTGAAGAACCTTGGCCATGATAGGTTTGCTTTAGGGTTGCTATAAGTCAGAAATGACTTGAAGGCACACAACAATA